GAAGTGTGATCTTCCTCCCATATTTGGGCATACCAGGGGTTGTGACTTTAAATAAATATGTATGTATATGTATATATGTATATATTTCTCTATCCCTTTACCTACCTACCTACTGTATTTCTCTTTCTTTCTCTCCCTCTCTATCCCTCTATCTATCTACCTACCTACTTTTTAAAAAATTTGCCTCTTCAAAACCTTGGTGCATCTTATACTCCGAAAAATACGGTACATCTTTAACAATAAAAAATAGTTACAAAAAGACATTTAGTTTATTGCCATCATACACTAGCATGGTTCTCCAAAACTTGTTAGTCTTAGTGTTTGTCCATCTATTTAACTCTGTCTTCATTCTAGGGAATGGAATGACAAATTTAATGTAACTGAATGTAGAAATATCTGAATAGCCAGATGTCGTGTGTTGGGTTTTGAAAAGACTCAATGACTCCTTTTCTAAATTATTGCTTTCTCTGCTACCCAGCTATTGATTATATTCAATTCTTGCACAAAGAAAAAAAGAAACAAGAGGAAGAGGTCTCCACTCTCCGGAAAGATGTGCAGGCCTTGAAAATCATGAAAGTGTAAGACTTATGCATTTGTATATTCATGATTCACTAGTTGCCCCCCCAAAAAAAAAAAAGTGTGGCATTAAAAAGAAGAGCAGGGAGACCTATGTTTTAAACTACCTTCAGTCACGGAAGGTCACAGGCTAATTTTCTTAGCTCAATCAGGGCTTTGATTTTCAGAAAAAATAGTAAAGAATGTTACATATGTTACCTTGAATATATGTCTACAGGGAGGATACATATATTTTTAGTTTAACAGTAAATTCCATTTTATGTTTGAGAAATGTTTACTCTGTAACATGATTATCATTTATTGTTACAGTTCTTCCATCCTATCATTAAGAAATGTTTTCTACAAAATAATCAGTTTATTATCCTAGATCTGATTATTCCACATGTTTTCTGCTAAATTAACTAACTATATATATGCATTTCAGAAACTATGAAGAGATTGTTAAAGCTCACCAGGACAATCCCAGTGAAGGAAAGAATCAGGTCTCTGACCAAGTGAAGTTCAATGTTTTCCAGGGTATCATGGACTCTTTGTTCCAATCCTTTAATGCCTCCATCTCAGTAACAAGCTTTCAGGAGCTCTCAGCTTGTGTTTTCAGCTGGATAGAAGAGCACTGTAAGCCACAGGTAATTCCAGAACATAACACATGCCCAATATCACATATAGGAAAAGTATACTTGATTTGCTCGTGGAATCCTAGATTCAGAGATAATCATATTAAAAAAAATCATAATGTAGATATCCATTGCTGTCCCTTAAATAACATTAGTCTCAGCTTCTCTGGCTGGCTTTTGGGTTTACTAAATAGCCTAACAGTGGCAGAGATGGTCTTGTCTTTCACACCAAAGTCCTCTTGGCATTGCTTAGGAGGAAAATAAAGCACTTGAATGGAAGCAGCATTTTTTTTCATAATCTTGCTGCAGATAACTAAAAAGTTCTATTCCAATGCTAAAAGGTTGACAAACTGCCATATTCAGACTTCAGAAATAGAATGGCGATTGTTGGTGATTTAATTCAGGCAGAATTCTACATCTACCATGTTTTTCAAAGGATAGATTATACCAGAAACTGTTTGCTATGAACTTACTTAGTGCCTTTTTCTACAGACCTTGCGAGACATTGTCATTGGTGTACTGCAACGACTGAAGAGCCAACTCTACTAATCAAAGAGAAAGCTTTGAAGGGGCCTCATTTGGAGAGATATGGCCAAGAAGCTTTATTCCTTCCAGTAATTCCATTTCAAGCTTTTTTAGGGCTACAGATTGGTTTTACCTCTGGAATCCCGTCAGTTTACACTGCAAGCTCTTCAGATGAGCAGAAAAATAATCAGCTCTCAATTCATCAGGATTGCTTGCTGCCATCTCTTTTTCAAGCCTTGGCTCTACCTGTTCCTATGCATAAATGTAGTGGATCTAATAGAAATGTATTTACAATATACCAGGGTTTCACAATGAGCCAAATTCTTTTCTTAATGTCTCTTCATCTATGTTTGGTAAATACTTTTTCTAAATGCCTAGGTTTAGATGCCTAGGCTCAAGGAGGAGTGCCTAGTGTAATCATTGTACAAAGAAAGCTTTTTTACGTACTACCATGGCTCCATGTAGCATTTACCTTGGGTTAAGGGCAGAGAACCAAGGAAATTAAGCAATAAACTGCCTCCCTCTGATAGTCTTGTAAAGAGCTAGTAAGTCATTTAGCAACAACCTTCTGTTGTGTAGCCAACCTCCAGCTTTTTAAAATTAACCTATATGCAATCATTATTTGCCTTCACTTCAATTCTATGGATTAAAAGTCTGAATAGGCTTATCAATTACGTTGTATTAGCAATAAAGGGGAAATACCTTTTAGTCTCTTGCAGCTTTGGTTTCTATAATAATGCAATGAAGTGAATTAAGCCAACTCCCTTCTGCAGCTCCTTGGTTTTTTTGTTTTATTTTTTGCTGCAAAGGTGGGTCCACTGTCTTTTATAGGCATTGCTTTCTGGATCTACTGCTGGTTGGTGGAGAAGGACATTAACTCAGACAAGAACTTGTTATTTTTTATTATGACAAGCAGTTCTAATAAATTTGCTATGTGGTTGAATGACTTGTTGGCTTTGCCTGATTTTATCTAAAATATTTTAAAAGACTGGACTTGGGTATTTAGGTTGAAATTACTCTAGTTATTTCATGGTAATTATATAAAATGCTAATTTCCAGACTGGAAGCTATCCTATTACTTTGAACTCTGAATCATATTTAATGTTCCACTGACATCTTCACGTAGGAATTTCCACAATATTGGTCTTTATTTGAAGAGAGGTCAGCAATTTGAAATGTCAAAGTGAATGTTACACATCTGGCTTAAGGCAACAGTATTACCTTTAGCAAAAATAAAGACATTGTGCTACTGAAAATTTATATTTTACTCCAAGACTTCGGGAACATGATCTTGTAGTGTGACAGCCAGTGACATGGAACCATACGTGAGTGTGCTGATCTTTGATCTAATCCAATAGCCACTTGCCCAAGTCAGGAAACTAATCTTTTAATATCAATTTTCCAAGGTACATTGTTTTTCTTCCATGTAACAAAGAAGAGGTAAACCCAGCTGTTCTCCCTCCCACAATTGCCCAATTAGCTTAGAGAAAATGTATTCAATGTGTTTGCATCTCACAACGTGACTCACAGCACAAAGCAAAGCATGATGGCTAAATAACAACTGACATTAAAATTTCCCCAATTCTTGGTGGGATAATTAGCTCACTCTGAGTAGTAGTGTTGCTTTAATGGCATAATATGCTGTTAATACAATATGCAGACCAATTACAGAGAAAATACTATCAGAAATTCAAGTATTTTGAGCCACCTCCCCCATTTTCTCAAGTGCATATTAACATTTTGTTCTAACTACTTTAAGAACAAAACAATCAGACTGATTAGGAAGTCCTATGGAGAAATACTAGGAAAAAACTAAACAGTGTAAAATGGGAGGTGTGCCCCAATGAATGCAAATACTTTTAAATTCTGAAAATTAGAGCAATATAGAATGAGAAACTGAAACTTGAGTGCTTAGATTTAAATTACGCAGGTGAGATCTTGGTTCACACAGAAGGTACTGTAACATTGAAATCTTCATCTGTCTCAATGCCAACTTCCTCCTGAACAAGAAACAACACATACTCTTTTAAGATGTAATAAATGAAAATAAGAGCATTCTGCAGACCATACATGGCGCAGTAGTTGAGCAATCCACAGTTAGAACTGACCAAGAGCCTGCTTACTGTGGCTCTCAATATCAGTTTACATGTAATACTCACAAAGAACTGTTTCTTGCTTTTCGGGTAGCCTTCAAGGATTGCATCAAGTAATTCTGTTGCCTGTTGAGAAAGTTATGTCATACGTTTAGTTGCTATCCTTTCTACAATAAGATTGGCAGACAAAAATAACACAGATCTGGTAATTATAGGAGAAAATATATGAATTTGTCTTAGTTGAAAACACAGCTGGTAAGCAATTGGAATTGGTAAGCAATAAAAATAAAAATAACTTCGAAATCTATAAGTCATAACATTTTTTCTATCATTTTACTTAAATATGATTCAAAAGGGAAGTAAGAAAAAAAGACAGGAACTTCCATCTTAAGAAGATACAAAACTTCATATTAAATCCTTATTAAAAAGAAAGATCAATTGGAAATATTTTGTTAAAAAACAAAATACTGATTTAAGAAAATCACAATTCACAATTATTTGTTGCTATGCTACCTTTTCAGTAATCCATTTTCCAATTTTTTATTATAATTGATCCAAAAGGCCAAGTATTTGGTTTGGTTTAACAATTTACACAAAGAAAATGAACAGGCAGTTCTTAGAGCACACATAACTTTCCATATTGCTACATTTTTCAACAGCTGAAGCTTCCCAAAACATCCATGCCAAGAAGGTTATACTCTTATTTCCAACTAACTTGTACATATATTGTGTATTTTATATTATACATTTTATGCCATATGTTTTGTTTTAATTTTGATGCTTCTGACACAAATAAGCAAACTATTTTCAACACAAAGAGAGGAAGTATGCACCATTTAGTTTAACATAATAGGCAGGAATCCTTGCATTCAATAACCAGACTAAATTATGCATGGAAAGTGAATCTGTAGCTGTATATTGTAAGATATCATTTGAATCTTATCTTTTACATTTGAAAAATAGGATATTTAAAATGTATTCTGTTGGTTTCCTAGATACTCACTCAACACATTTTTAAAACCATAAATAATTGTGCCTTACCATTCTCTTGCGGCGACGCCATTCTTTGCAGTACAGCTTTTTCTCATTGTATACCTGCAATCAACAAAACCCAAGCAATCCTTATGTTTTCAGGTCCAACGAAACAGCTCAGACTGCAGCCAGCTTTGATTTAGGAACAAAAGCTGCAGCATCCAAAACTGAGTGTTGACAAACTACCTGCAAGAAAAGGGCCTTAAAAGAGCATTTATGTTTATTCCCATTTTAATGCCAATTAGAATTAATGTATTTTTGGAGTATAAGATGCACCTTTTTTCTGGGTGCGTCTTATATATCGAATACAGCATTTTTTTGCCTCCCGAAGCCCCACCCCTTCACCAAAATGGCCATGCATACCCTTTTGGAGGTTTTAAGAGAGCTCCTGGGGCTGGGGAGGGCAGAAATGAGCAAAAATGGGCCTTTTTTGCCCCCCAGCCCCCAGCAGCACTCTA